ATATTTCCCTATTCAGAGTGTTATTGGTTTAATGATAGTTAGATCTTTACTTTGAACTTTGAATATATGAGCACATCATAGAAGTTTATCCTATGCCCGAGTATCACATATGTGTTTTCTTTTGAACTCAACCATAGTGCACCATGAACCTGTAATTTTTGAAATTTACGGATTGGATTCACATTTTAGAGCTTGACATGCATAATGGAGATGAAATAAGTACCCATGTGAGCTTTAGTGCCGCTCTTTGTTAGAGTGAACTTACATTTACTCAAATGAACAATTTTTCAAATTCAAAATCTGTTCAATAATCGCATTATGCTTGCCTAGGTTAGAGTGCATGTAGATATTTAATTGACTTTGTCTTGAAATGCCAATATGCCTCCCCATGCTTATCTAGAAATGACTTAGGCCATCTTTGAAATGCTTTGAGTCTTAGCCCTTTTCTTGGAAAAAAATTATCTCTAGTGCCGTGATTGAGCCTTATTTGAAAATTCATTTCCAATTTACCAAGCCAGTGCAAAATAATAAAAATTTACCACACGTTGGTTGTTCCAAAACTAACTGTGTTTGATCATAAAGGAAAGAAAATCTAGGGAGAAAACCTAAAAATGGATAAAAGGGTGCCAAATTCAAATTTTGAATATAAAAGAGAAAGAAAGCCCAAGAAAAAAAAAGTGTTGAAAAAGAAAAGAAAAGGAAAGAAGAAGAAAAAAAAGAATCAAAAAGTGAAGTGAAGATGTAAATCTAGATGTAAACCCCCACATTCTTATCATTATATAATAATGTAATTATTTTGAAATGCTTATATATGTAATGATGTAAGCATAAACTATATAGATTGTAAGAGTATAGATAAAATGTTAGGTGAGGTAATAGGGTGTGTAAGTAGAAATTAGGAAGTATTCCGGAATTAAAGCACATTTTAGATAGAATTCGAGTAGGAAAGAATTTAACATAGCCTTAGTATTTGGACCATAGATTTTTATTTGGATGTCTTTTTGATCTAAAATTTTTATAGTAAATACTAGACTTAAAGGACTACAAAAGACTATTTCTCAAAAATTTTCCAAATCGACCTCTAAATAGGCCAAAACTTCATTGAAAATTTAGCTAAAAAAGGGAGTCCATTCGAACATGAATGGATCCATTCAAATGATAGTTCGTCCCAGTACTTTTTTGTCTAACAGAACTCTGATGGAAAATCAAAAGTACTGGGAGCAAACAATGTTCAAATGCCAAAATGACGTTCTAACATTAGGTAGATAGTTCGAACATCAAGTCTCTAGTTCAAACGTGAGGTGGCAATTCTAAGTATTAGATTTTTGCCGCTTGGATTGTTTTTTCATAGTATAAATACCCAAGGATGTCTTCCCATGCCCTATTTCATCATTTCTAACTCTAGAGAGTCTTAGAGAGCAAGAAAGAAGAGGAGCAACACGAGATTAAGGGAGATTTTCATGTTGTAACGGATTAAACACGCTAGGTTTTCACACAAAACTATGGAATCGAGGTAGGGGATTCTTCTTGAGTTCTTTCATTGAGACTTAGGTTATAATTATGTATGTTTTCAATCTTCTTGGTAATTATATGATAGATATATATGAATTTTTGCTTTCTTTATCATTGGAATGTAGTCTTAAACAAAATATATGTTTGGGTTCAAGGATTACTTGTTCTTGAATTTCCAAATTCCTAGTTCTTCCAAAATGCACGTTCTATTGTGAAATTCATATGGATTCTTAATTTCTAAATTCTTATTCTTGATTAAATCATGTTTTCATCTAATACTTGTTTTTGTTCCAAGATAATATGATTTTTGGCAAAACCAAGAATTTTGATATCAAAATTGTGAATGTTTTCTTGTAATACTTGAATTGGTAATGAAAATTGTGATTGGTTAAGATTGTAGTTTTTGAAAAAGTTGTGGTTTCATCTCTCATATTGTTTGTTGTGATAGACTTGAATTGCCTTTGAGAGTTGTCGTAGAGTGTTAAATGTTAGTCTATCCTAGTAGGGGTGAGATGGTTGTCTAACACTTGTAGTGGATTGTTGTTTGTGAGAGAAACTATTGTTGTTCATGTAAGTTCAAGGTTGAGGGATGGTATACCTTTCTTTTGAAGAATTCGTCAATGTCGGGGGAGACGGTATGCACCCTTCTTAAAGTGGTTTGTGATTTGGTCATGTGGGGAATGATTGAGATTATGCGGTTATGATGGGTGAACGAGGTAGAATCGTTGTGTAAATTCCTAAGAAGCAACCAACATACAGATTTTGGTAACGAGGAGGATATCGAGTTAGATAAGCAGGTTGATCTCGAGGCTGAAGAGGGTTAGTATGAGGATCCTAAAGTGGAGGCTTAAAGATGCTTTGTTTTAGTTTTGATTAGTGTGTTTAGAAAGATTTTTGTGAAACAATGTTTCGGTTAGTTTTGTTATTCCGCTGCTAGATACTATTTAGTGTTGAATTTTAAGCTGGAGAAATTATCATATTTTATTTGTTTTAGTATTTATTCTTTTTTAGGTAGATGAATGGTTTATTATCTAATGGTTATTTTTAGTTGTTCTCATGGTTAGATGGTTTGTAGATAGTAATGCCTTCCAAGGTGGAATTTGGGAAATTACACTGAAAATTCCGCAAAAAGGAGGTTTTGGTAATAAAGGTCAATGCCCTAAGAATAATCTTTTTTGTCTCATTTGACCCTTCATTTCACAAAGCCCAAATATCACCCCCAATGTCTCATTACAACCCTGGAAAGCCCTAAATTATCCAGACAAACCATATTGGTGAAAGCATACTTTTAATGAAAAAGAAAATTTGGTTTTGCTATCTAATGCCCTAACATTCCATTCATGAGATTATGCCAGAGTCGTTTCAATTGTTATGCATGTTCATCATTTTTGGATTATATGTGAGCATTTAATTTGTGCACAAGATTTTATCTAACATATACACATGGAGAACATGCCAAGATAATCATAGAGTAATTGAATTTAGAGAGAGACCCTTGGTGAGTTTTGCATTGAAGCTGAATTTGGATAGCTAAGTGAATGTGAATTCCATGGAGTAAATGCTGAAATTACATGTGCATTTCAAACACACACGAGTTTGAAAACATATGTGTAGGTTTACACTCTAGAGTAGCATTTCAAGCCATGGTGAATCTCATGTGTGATTAGTTAGGGGTTTGAGAATCTTATCGGGTAGCCTTGTACTTGTAGGATAGGGGAATATTGCTCAAACTTTAGATATTAAGAAGGAATAGAAATGTCTTTTGTTTTTCAATTTGTGCTTTATATGTTGGGTGTTCATTTTATTTGTTGAATTTAGATTTCCATGTCATGAGTTTTGAAAGCATCAAAAACTCAAATCGCATTACAATTTCGTAAATAAAGTTAGGCATGGTCACTCATTCATGGTTCACGAACATGGTTTAGGTTTTGGTGGAGTGGAGGTTGTAAATAGGTTGTTAGAATATTTAGGAGTTGAATAAATTTGGAGTGGAGATGAAAACAAGAGCATAGGGAAATTTTTGGAAAAAGACTATAACGTACTGGTAGAAGTTTGCTTAAACTTAACATTAGGAATTTTCTAGTGCACAAAACCTGTTGATAGGTTTTGATAGTTCTACATGTAGGTTTTGCCCAGAATTCAAAAAAAAAATGAGGGTCACCAAGATGTATCAGAATTTACGGGAAACTTATTGGTGGTTGGGTATAAAGAGAGAAATAGCAAAATTCATGGCCAAGTGGTTAGTATGTCAACAGGGGAAGACGGAACATCAGCGTCCTGCAAGGTTGCTTCAACTCCTCCCTTTTCTGGAATAGAAATGGAAACATATCACGATGCATTTTGTAATTGGCTTACCTCATACCCCCAAAAGGTCAAAATTCCATTTGGGTAATAGTTGACCAATTGACAAAATTTGCACATTTCCTAGTTGTCAAAATAAATCTCTCACTAGACAGGTATGCTCAAATGTACGTGGATGAAGTTGTACGTTGCATGAAGCATAGGTATCTATCGTAGTAGATATGGACCCAAGATTTACTGCTTAATTTTGATTGAGCTTACAACAAGCTATGGGCACAACATTAAATTTTAGTACAACTTTTCACCCTCAAATTGATGGACAGCCCAAACGCATTATTCAAATTTTGCAGGATATGTTAAGAGCTTGTGTGATGGAGTTTAAGGGTAGTTGGGATAATTACATACCATTGATGGAGTTTGCTTACAATAACAGTTATCAATCAAGCATCAATATGTCGTTGTCTGAAGCTCTTTATGGAGACGGTGCAGAACACCTGTGTGTTAGGAGTGAGGTGGGAGAAAGGAATATATTTAGTCCAAAGTTGGTACAAATAACTTCATACAAGGTAAAATTGATCTGTGGACGCTTAAAAACTACTCAAAGTCAACAAAAAAGTTACGCGGACTATCGAAGGCAGAACTTGTAGTTTTCCATTGGAGACCAAGTGTTTCTTAGGATTTTGTAATGGATAGGAGTGATGAGGTTTGGTAGAAAAGGAAATTTAACTCTGAGATATACAGTACCCTTTGAGATACTCAAGCAAATTGGGGTGGTAGCATATCGATTGGCGTTACCATCGAATTTATTGTGATTACATGATGTTTTCCATGTGTTGATGCTACGCAAGTACATACCCAATCCTTCTCATATCTTTTCAATAGAGTCTATAGAACTGAAGGAAAATTTAACATACATTGAAGAACCTGTAGCCATCCTAGACCACAGAGATCAGATTCTACGCTAAAAAGTTATTCCATTAGTGAGAGTATTATAGGAGAGTCAAGTGGTAGAGAAGGCAACTTGGGAGAGTGAGGAACTTATGAGAGCACAGTATCCTAGTCTATTCCAAAGTGGAAAGTCAATTTCAGAAATGAAATTATATAAGGAGGGAGGAATTGTGACACCCACACTAGCATGTTAAGCATTTTATGTAGGTCAGGGGTTTAAGGGTGTGTGTAGATTTTAGTTATGGGAAAGAAAAAGGTGAAAATAGGGAGTCACTTGGGTCTCCACTTTTCCATAGGAAATGCTCTTGCTCTTGGAAAAGATTTTGGTTATGGGAAAGAAAAACCAATGAAGATAGAGAATGTGTTAACTTCCATTGGAGAACTTTGTGAAATGGTGAAGATGGGTGCTTGATTAAGGAACTGAGGCATTGACATTGTCAACTACTCCACTCAAGACCCCAATGGGAGGTTGCACTTGAGGTAGAAGCAAAACTAAGGTGAGTGTGTTATCTCACATATTTATAATTTGCGTTAATTTTATTCATCATTACATTATTATTGTATAAAGAGATGAAAAAGGAACTATGTTTGTGTAGCGTTATTGTTTGTGTGGCAATGAATGTCAATGTGACGAAAATCCAAGCTTAATCTCTAGTAATGGAGGAGCCCAAGGGAAATGGAAGAGATGAGAGGGTAGGAAGGAGAGTTTTGGCACTAGGTAGGGGGTTTGAGAGAGAGATGAGATGAGAGTTTGAGTGAAAAGTGGAAGAAAAATCATTTGACACCTATTTAAAATACCAAAAATTTTAAATAATGAATTGGTTCATCACTAATCGATGAGCCCGTAGAAATTTAAAAAAAAACTATTTTTCTTATTTTCTATTTTTTATTTCCTACACCTAATTCAATCCTAAATTCCCAAGACAACTTATCACATCAAAGTCTTGTATCGTATTTCACATATGCCTAGATTTCTCAAGGAATGCAAAGCAATTTGACTTTGAAATTATGCAAAAGAATTTAAAGCATGATAAAATAACTAAACATAAAAATTAAGAAATACAAATAAAAAAACCATTTTCATAGGCAGTCACAAATCACTAAGCCGTTCAACCCTTAGGTTACCCCTAGTTGACAGTTTTGTCACGTGAAGGTTTCCAAAGAAGATACCTACAAACTTCATTTTAAATATCCAAAAAACATTACTATTCCTTAATTATCTAAAAATAAAACTATACTAAATCCACTCAAATCAATTCACATACGGATTCATTGTAGGATTAAATGCTATGTAAGAGTATTCACATTCATGTTAGCATCCAAAATTCGTGTGTGTGAGATATGTTATGTGAGTCAAAAAATTTATCAAACAGCATTCAAATCTTTATTAGATATCCAATGCTAGCTTCAATGTCAATCTCATCAAGATTGCACTCTAAAACAAAAACATTCTGATTCTAGTGACTGTTCACTCATAGGTTATATGTGAGGATCGAAAGTATAAAATCAAAAGCAAGCATACTCACATATATCTTTGAAATAAGGAACTTCATTCAAGTAAAACAACCTTAGCATAATCTCATGAAAGAATTTTAAGCGCAATTGAAGCAACACAGTTGGTATATCTCTTATAAATTAAGCATACATACTTGCCCACACTTCCTAAGATCAAATAGGACTTTTCTAAGTTGTAATGTGGTATTGGGTGAAGGTTAAAGAAATGAAGGACAATAGAATTTCAAAACAAGCTATCCCATAGTTGTCAATTCAAACTTGTATTCTTCTTTTGCTTGAACCGATAAAACTTCTACTGGTTCATTTGGAATCATTAGAACTATCCTTCATTTTTCTTCTTCTTTTTTCACAACCTTTGGCTCTTGCAAAAATATTCTATTTTTCATTTTTTTCACAACTCCTTTGTTCTTTCCTTTTCCTTTTTCTTTGCTCTTTCTTTTTGATGAGAACATAATATTGTATATTTAATGGCCTCATGACATGCATTTTATGTAAAACCCGGGTAAATTTAAACTTTTTATAAAAAGGGCAAAACGGTAAATTATTGTTATAGTACGGGTTGAAAACCTGAATTTTTCTAAATCTCGGATGACAAAATGGATTTTTACCGTTGGATTCGTCTCACAAAATCTAGTCACCCTGTCAAATTTTATCAAATTTCGAGATAATCAAATTTTTTGCGTTTTACGAGGAGGTCGAGTCTCAGGTGACCCAAAAACGGGAATTTTTAATAAAATTTTGAAAGATGGAAAATAATTTAAGGAAAATTAAAATAAAATTAATTTGAACTTAAACCGGAATGAAATTTAATCGTTTCGGGGTGAAAACGAACCCAAAAAAAAGTGGTCGTGTGGCAGATTGTGGGCCAAGTATTAAGAAGTATAAATAGGGGGGAAAAATTAGATTTTTCCCCCATTCTTTGTCCAACCATTAGCCGATAGAAGAAGAGAAGGAAAGAGTTGGATCCTCTATCTTCTCTATACGATCTAGGAAGCTACGGAGCTCAAATCAACACGGGCCAAGAATTAAAGTTGCTCCTCTCACCGAAGGCTATGCCACCACACCAAAAACGACGGGTTTTACAGAAGATCAAGGTATGAGATTTTTGAAAGTTTGGAATTTGGGCTAGAAGAGTGTTCTAGGGACTTCCTACGGTTGTTCCTTACACTTCAAGAGGTAGGGTTCCTTCCTACTCGAGTTTATTTTACAACCTAGGGTATAGTATGTAATGGGTATGTGGATAAAAAGATTTTATCATTACCTATGTGTGAAAATTGATGAAATGGGTATTAAAATTGGGTAGAATGAAATTTTACATTAAAATGGGTTGTGAATTAGACTCAATGTGATCCATGGAATTGGGTGTTATGTGGGCATGCTGTGTGTTTACTTTATGCCTTGGAAATGTAGGGTGTTGTTAGCATATGTTATGTTATGACATGCTTGTGAATTGTTGTTAAAAATGAAATATTGATAGATGTTCATTGATATATGGCATTATGAGAAAGTTTGGGTAATTATAGGCTGCGGATAAAAATTGTCATGGAATTGGTTTGAATGTAGTTAATTTAGTTCATGTGACATCCTTTACATATGGGCATGACATGGATTAGGCAATAGTACATTACATTACATTTGCACGGGAGAAATGCATCCATAGCCATGAGTGTGGGTGTATGTGTGCATGGTAGATATCAAACACTAAGTAGGTGGATGATGGTGGGCACGGGAAAGTTGGATTGAAAATCCGACTGAGCCGCATGGTTGCATGAAAAAAGAATTGGGTCGGGGTAGCAAGAAAGGCTAGACTATCCCTCGGGTGAGAGACCCGGTGTTCGGATACGCACCTCCGTTGGTATAAGAGCTCATAAAGTGTGTCGTTGTACGCGGAACCGTTAGTGGAAGTCCATAAATTCCGTGTCGATTGGGTGACCGTTGGTGTGAGTCCATAAATGCCCACCCCAAGAAAGACCCAGAGATTTTAAATAGTCATTTGGGTGTGTAACACAAATAGCGGGGGCTCGAAAGCCCGGTTTGGATACTCACTGCATAGCATGGGGTAAAAGTAATTAGTCAGAGCTAGAAAAGCTCGATTTTATACACATTGGCATGCATGTGTTGTGGAGCCGGGAAGGGCTCAGGTAAATTGCATGAATGAGTATCATTTCATTTCATGCCAAGATATGTTAGATTCTAACTTTGATTTTCTTAAATCTTGGTTGGAATGATTGTTGTTGGAAAATGTGGCATGTGAACATTGCATATGCACTTAGGTTGGGGAATAACCTCTGTAGAAAATATTCTACTAGGCATTGGCTCACCCTATACGGGAAATATTTTAGGTGCGGGACATACTCTGGCGGACGGCTCGCATTCGGGGCCTCTAGGGAGAAGAAAAGCCGGGTTATGGCTTTTGAATACAAGTTTGGTGTAAAAATTTTGTTAAAGTTCCATTGGACATGTAAATGTATGGAATGGTTTGTAACAAACTTTGTATATAATAGGTTTTATGTGAAAAACTCAATCATGTGTGTTTTGGATGAAAATAAGATGGTTTGAAATAGATTGAAAATGTAAAACAGGTGAAACAGGAAAAAATGGCCCTAGCGTACGGGTACCCGTACCGGTATGGCGAGGTCCAGAAGGCAAACCGTACCGGTACCGTGAGGTCCAGTCAGCAACCCATACCGGTACACGTACCAGTACGCTTTGGTAGATCTTGAATTTTTTTTTTTTCTTCCAAGGCCTTGGGCTATGCATCTTTTGGTTCCAATGATACAAATGGACATAAATGAGTTATATTGGGGTACATTGAACCTCAATAGGATTAAATGACTAATGAAACACGGGTGTTACATGTGAGTTTGAAATTCTGGTAATGGGATAATATTAGCGTGATGTCGGATCCAATGACACTCACGGCCATTTTCGCAGGTCGATGGATGGTCAACGGAACCACCGATTTTAGGAGCATCACAGCTTGGTATCAAAGCATATGTATATGGTTTATCTAGGGCTGTTGGGCATGGGTCTAGACCACTGCATGTATTGTGCATTCATGACTATGTGCTTAAATGCTATGTGCTACATGTGATGTGATATGTGTTATATGAATGGTATGCATGGTAAAATGTATATGAAAAAGCGACACTAGGATTAGAAAACATAACCTTGGCAGTCGGAAAATAAGGGATGAATGGTGTAGTTCATGGTTTAAAGGTCTACTAGTATGGGGTATACACACTACTAGAGAGACAAGGAGAAAAATCTCCAAGTTTAAACTTGATTCCCTATCTTGGGATACTATGTGAGTGTTCGATTGCTATTTGACATGTGTGTAGATGACAAATCGAGGAAGAGGACGCCGAGGCGGTGGATGGAACAACCAACCACCACCGGCCTTTGACCAATGAGCCTTTGTGAAGGCTATTGGTGCGGTGGCTGCTACGATTGCACAAGCTAGTGCTACAGCTGCTAATGTTGCACAGATGGGTGCAAATGTGGGGCAAGGAGGCACGAGCAACCTCCAAAAGTTCAAAGCACATACACCTCCAGTATTCAAGGGAGGGGCGGACCCGATGGTAGCTGACCATTGGTTCCAACAAGTTAACAAAGTCTTAGAGGCAATGGAGATCACCTCCGATGCCTTGAAGATAAGGCTAGATGCATTCTAGCTAGAGGGAGAGGCTCAATTATAGTGGGATTGGGTGAAAGAGGCAAAGGACTTAGCGACCATGACATAGGGAGAGTTCTGTGAGCTCTTTATGGGTAAATATTTCCCAGCGACTGCTCGTCATGCAAAGGCCAGGGAATTCTTGGAGTTGAAACAAGGAACCATGACGGTGATGGATTATGTGGCTAAATTCACCGAATTAGCCCATTTTTCTGATGATTACG